GAAAGGCCCCTTCCCTGCTTCCATGGGACACTTCCCACCTGGAAAGGCCCCTTCCCTGCTTCCCTGGGACACTTCCCACCTGGAAACACCCTTCCCTGCTTCCCTGGGACACTTCCCACCTGGAAACGCCCCTTCCCTGCTTCCTGGGGACACTTCCCACCTGGAAACGCCCCTTCCCTGCTCCCCTGGGGACACTTCCCACCTGGAAACGCCCCTTCCCTGCTTCCCTGGGACACTTCCCACCTGGAAACGCCCCTTCCCTGCTTCCATGGGACACTTCCCACCTGGAAACGCCCCTTCCCTGCTTCCCTGGGGACACTTCCCACCAGGAAAGGCCCCTTCCCTGCTTCCCTGGGACACTTCCCAGCTGGAAAGGCCCCTTCCCTGGGGACACTTCCCACCAGGAAAGGCCCCTTCCCTGGGGACACTTCCCACCTGGAAAGGCCCCTTCCCTGGGGACACTTCCCAGGAAAGGCCCCTTCCCTGGGACACTTCCCACCTGGAAAGGCCCCTTCCCTGGGGACACTTCCCAGCTGGAAAGGCCCCTTCCCTGGGGACACTTCCCAGCTGGAAAGGCCCCTTCCCTGGGGACACTTCCCAGGAAAGGCCCTCCCGCAGGTGTCCCGGCTGAAGCAGGCGCTGCAGGAGAGCCAGGCCGAGCGGGAGAACGTCCTGCTGGATAAGGAGGTGCTGCTCCAGCGCCTGCACAACCTGGAGCAGGAGATGGACGCCCGGAAGCGCTCCCAGGACGATCGATCCCGGCACGTCAAAACGCTGGAGGTGGGAATGTGATCCCAAAAAAATAATCCCTCCCTCTCCCCGGCCCTGCAGTGCCCGGCGCCGACAGCGAGGGGCAGAGCCTGCCTGTCATTCCCAACGCCTGGAAGCGCTGGGATGGGATCAGATTCCCGATTTTACTGGTTGCCGGCGCGGCCGCTCTTCCCGGCTCTTCCCGGCTCTTCCCGGTGCCTCTCCAGGGCTCAGTGGGGGCTTCTCCCCCCCCGGGGTGCTGGGTCATATCCCAGCATGTCCAGTCTCGTATCCCAGCATTTCCCATCCCTTCCCCAATCCCGGGATGCGTCGGAGCTCCCCGGCTTTGCGTTTTTGGGAGCGGATCCGTTTCCTCTGGAATTCCCGCGCCTTTCCCGCTTCCCGTCGTTCATCCCACACCCCCCCCGTGGCTCGAACCGACCTTTCTCATCCCGAGTCTTTTGCAGGAAAAGTCCAAGCGGCTGGAAGTGGAGCTGGATGAGGAGAGGAGCACGGTGGAGCTGCTGACGGAGCGGGTCAACCGGAGCAGGGACCAGGTGGGAGCCGGGAGAACTCGGGAGAACTCGGGAGAACTCGGGAATCCTGGAATTAACACCACATTAACGACTCCCTAACGAGCAGCTCCGTCACTAAATTCGATGGGAACGACAATGGGAATGAAATGTTGGAAAAGTTTGGGCGTGAATGGGAATTACACGAGTTTAGGGAAGAAAGGAAAAAAAATCCAAAAGAAATTCCCAGGAATTTACGGGGCGAGATTTGGGGTTGGGGTGGGAATTTGGGGGCTGAAATCCGCTTAAATCCCGGACTCTTCCCTCCGTCTGACCCCACCTGGTTATTCCCTCAAAGCTGGAGCTGCTGGAGCCTCCTGGGATTCACCAGGATCCCAATGGAGCCTCCTGGGATTCACCAGGATCCCAATGGAGCCTCCTGGGATTCACCAGGATCCCGGGATTGGCCTCCCCCTCCTGCCCCACAGGGATCCAGCCTGGGGCTTGGAAAGGGAATTCCCTCCCCTCAGGCTCTGACAAAACGGGTGGGTTTCCCTCTTTTCCATCTGGGAAACATCCCGGGGGATGCTTTTCCCGCAACCCCTGGACGTGCCTGAGGGCAGTTCTGGTTCGTTCCATCCGTGGATCAAACCCATTCCCGCCCCCCAGTCCCCAAATCCCAGTTCAACCAGTCGAAACCCTCCGGTGGGAAACTCCAGCCCCGGAGCTCTCCGGGCTGCTCGTGGGATTTGGTTTGGGAAGGACCCGAAAATCCTCCCGGTGGAGGTTTTTGGTGTCCCGTGGGATGGGACACCCGAGCCTGCCCGGCGGGAATTCCGGCGGGAATTCTGGTGGGAATTCCGGTGGGAATTCCGGCGGCTCCCGTTGTCCCACCACCGCCTGGCAAAGGACGTGGCCAAATCCCGACCCGGAGCCGTGTCCTCGTTCCCAGATCGAGCAGCTGCGGGCGGAGCTGCTCCAGGAACGCTCCAGCCGGCAGGACCTGGAATGTGACAAGGTGTCCCTGGAGCGGCAGGTAGGGATGAGCCGCGGCAGGGACGGATCCAGCTGGATCCCCCACCACATCCCTGTGTCCCGGGGGCAGCGGGATGGACCCTTTTCCCTGGAAAAGCCTCTTGGAGCACCCCTTGGGAGCGAGGCCGCGTTCCCGAGGAGCTCTTCCCGCTGCCAGATCATTCCTCCTCCGTGCTCCGGATCCATCCCATCATTCCCATTCCCATCCCTGGAGCCCTCTGCCACCTCCCAGAGGTGGCACTCCCACTCCCAGGGCGCCTTTCCCTGCGGAATTCCCCCCTTTTCCCTCGTGATTCCCACTGTCCTGCCGGGACTTGTTCTCCCAGCCCTTCGTTCCTTAACGAGCCGGCTCCTAACGAGCTGGATCGATGGGAACCGACCTCCCCGAGCTGGGCTTGTTCCCACTCTGGAATTGCCACTTCCCAGGAAAACATGGGGGCTCCTGTTGACACCCGGAGGGGCCTTGGGGGGGAGTTTTTTGGCCGACAAAGGGATTCAGGAGCAGGAATTGGGGAGGTGAAGGGGGACGAGCATCGTGGGGGTGTCACACTCAGTGTTCCCAGTGTATCCCAGTGTATCCCAGTGTATCCCAGTGTATCCCAGTCCCCTCCGGCCTCTCCTCGTGCCCAGGCCGGTGCCAACACGTTAATTGCTGTTATATAACCCGGCTCCTCCTCGGAAAAGGCTTTCTGGGCCCTGACTCACCACCAGCTTTACATAAGCCAGGCCTGGGACCTTCCCCGCCCAGCCCAGAGCCCCGGGGTGGGGGGTGACAGGGGGAAAATTTTGGGGGGATTTTGCAGAATTGGGGAGGGGTGACAGGGGTATAATTTTGGGGGGATTTTGCAGAATTGGGGAGGGGTGACAGGGGTAAAATTTTGGGGGGATTTTGCAGAATTGGGGAGGGGTGACAGGGGTATAATTTTGGGGAGGGGATTTTGCAGAAGTGTGGGGTGTGGTGACAGGGATAAAATTTTGAGGGGGGGATTTTGCAGAAGTGGGGAGGGGGGAGGGTGACAGGGATAATTTTGTGTGTGGGGGGGTGATTTTGCAGAACAAGGAGCTGAAGAACCGCCTGGCCAGTTCCGAGGGGCAGCACCGGCCCAGCAGCAACGTGTCCCAGCTGGAAGCGCGGCTGGAGGAGCTGCAGGACCAGCTGCAGGCCGAGGAGAGGTACCCTGGGGACCCCCGGGGTTTAGGGGGTGCCTTCCCTGCCTGGGTGGGGGTCCCCCAATCCCCTCTGTGGCTCTTCCACAGGGAGAAGAACGTCCTGCTCTCCTCCAACCGCAAGCTGGAGAGGAAGGTGAAGGAACTCACCATCCAGATCGACGACGAGCGGCAGAGCGTCAGCAACCAGAAGGACCAGGTTGGGTGGGGATGGGAGGCTGCCAGGGGGGGGCTCTGGGGGACCTTTTACCCGCTCTAATCCCATGGGATTCCAGCTGAGCCTGCGGGTGAAGGCCCTGAAGCGGCAGGTGGACGAGGCGGAGGAGGAGATCGAGCGCCTGGAGGGCGCGCGGAAGAAGGCGCAGCGGGAGCTGGAGGAGCAGCACGAGCTCAACGAGCAGCTGCAGAACCGCGTCAAGGCGCTGGAGAAGGAGGCCTGGTAGGGAATCCTGGGGGTCCGGGGAGGTCCTGGAGCCGCGACGGGGGGTCCTGGAGCCGTGACAGGGGGAGGGCTGAGCCCGGGTTTCCCGCCCCCAGGCGCAGAGCCGCGCGCTCGGCCGCCGACTCGTCGCTGCAGGACGAGCAGCTGAGCTCGGACGAGGAGTTCGACAGCGCCTACGGCCCGTCCTCCATCACCTCCCTGCTCAACGAGCCCAACCTCCAGACCAGCTCCTGCTGACACACCGCAGTGGGGCCAGTTCCCCCTTCGGATGCTGCTGCTGCTCGAGGAAAAAAAAACACTTCCGAGGACATGAAGGAAGGAAGGGTGGGAACCCCCTGGGAACCTCCTGGGAACCTCTTGGGGACCTCCTGGGGACCCCCTGGGAACCCTTGGGGCCCCCCCCGGACTCTGTTCTCAGCTCTGTATCTTCCCACGGGTCTCAGGGCGTGTTTGCACCGTGGTTTGGGGCCGGGGGGACCTGCTGGGCCACGCCGGTGTCCCCCGGGGGAGGGACCCACTCGCCGTCCCCGCTGCCCCCTCGGTGGCCACCGTGGCCATGGGGGGGTTCAGGGTCCCGTGGGGGTGTCTGGGGACCCCCCCCGGGTTATTTTTCTATGCAGCCCCTCCTTGCCCCTCCAAGCGCTGTTTTAAATAAACCCTCCCATTTCAGCGCCGGGGGAGCGTCGCGTGTTCCGCTGCCTCTGGCCTGGAGATAAACCCTCGTTATCGCTAATTAACGAGCGCGGGAGCCCTGCCAGTCGCTAATTAGTGGCTGATTGGCAGGTTCTTCCCGCAGTTCCCCTCGTGGCCTCGAGCGGGGCCGAGCTGGCACCCGGGGGGGGGGGGACACCCCACCCCGCCAAACCCGGCGCTGCTGCCTCAGTTTCCCTTCCCAAAATCCCGGTGCTGTTCCAGCGGGATGCGTCCGGCGGGGAAGGACACGGTGCCACCGGTGCCACCCCCCCAGCGCTGGCCGTGTCACCGCGTCCCCCCCCCCCCGCCCAGGGCCGTGCCCGCGGCGGCCCCGTTGTGGTTCTGCCAGGACCGGCACGACCAGTCCTGCCCTCGGCTCCTCCCGGCCCTGCCCTCGGCTCCTCCCGGCCACGCGTGGCAGGGACGGGGTCACCCCCGGGCCACACCCTCTGCCTCGGGGTCCCCCCCGTGCCTCAGTTTCCCCCCTGGGCACTGCAGAGCTCTGGGGGGGGCTCAGGGGGGTACCCGCAGTGCCAACTCCCACCATGGCCCTGACTGTGAGGGAGCCACATCCTCCATCCCACAGGGAATCCATCCTCGATCCCACTTCCCAAACCCTCCCAGGTCAGCCCATGGTGTCCCCAGTGGCTGCTTGACCCCCTCTGTGCCTCAGTTTCCCCCCCAGGGCTCTGCAGCACCTGGGGGGGCTCAGGGGGGTGCCAGCAGTGCCAGCTCCCACCGTGGGGTTTGCCAGGCCCTGATTTTGGGGGAGCCACGTCCTCCTGATGCCCAAACCCCTCCAGGTCAGCCCTCGGTGTCCCCCCTGTGCCTCAGTGTCCCTGTGGGTGCCACAGAGCTCTGGAGGCTCCGGGGTGCCCGCAGGGAGCAGCTGGCACAGTTTCAGCACTCCCAGGGCCGGAGTTTGCCAAGTTCTGGACTTTACGAACCCCGAGGGAGCCACATCCTCCATCCCACAGGGAATCCCTCTTCCCAAACCCCGCCGGGCCCGGGGCCAGGGTGTCCCCGGCGTGTCCCGGCCCCGGGGCTCCGGAGCGTGGCCCCGGTGACCGCACGGGGCTGGAACGTGGCCCCGGAACGTGGCCCCGGCCCGGCCGAGCCCGGGGCCGGCTGAGCTCATCCCGCGGGAATGCGGCAATTAGGGCCGGGGTGACACTCCCGGGCCACCCGCGGCAATTAGGGCCGGGGTGACACTCCCGGGCCACCCACGCGGCGCGGGGACACGGGCAGGGATGTGGCCGCCGACCCCGCCGTGCCGGACCCCCGGTGCCAAACGGCCCCTGGGCGCGGGGGGCTGGTCCCCGGCACGGTTTGGGGCCCCCTGGCACGGCTGGGCGCGGTTTGGCACGGCGTTGGCATCACCACGGCCCGCACGGCTCGGTCTGGTGAGGCTGGACGGGGGGGGTGGAGGGGCTTGGGGTGGGTTGGCACAGCTTTGGCACGGCTGGGTACGTCTGGGTTTGGCTTGGCACGGCTTTGGCACGGCTGGGTGTGTCAGAGCATGGCTTGGCACAGCTTTGGCACGGCTGGGTGTGTCAGAGCATGGCTTGGCACAGCTTTGGCATGGCCAGGCATGGCTTTGACGTGGCTCAGTGTGGCTTTGGCACATCTGGGTTGGGCTTGGCATGGCTTTGGCACAGCTGGGTATGGCTTTGCCGCGGCTCAGCACAGTTTTGTCACGGCTCTGGAATGGCTGGCACAGCACTGGCACGGCCGGGCACGGCTTTGCCACGGCTCAGCACAGCTTTGGAACGGCCAGACAGGGCTTTGGCACAGCTTTGACGCGGCTCAAGACGAATTTGGCACGTCTGGGCCTGGCTAAACGTGGCTTTGGCACGGCTGGGTTTGGCTGATCAGGACATGGCAGAGCTTGGCACGGCTTTGGCAGAGCTTTGGCACAGCTGGGCACGGTTTTGGCGCTGCCAGACTTTGCCTTGGCACAGTTTTGGCGCGGTTTTAGCCCGGTTTTGGCACCGTCTCCGCGCGGCTTTGGCGCGCCCGGACCCGCCTTGGTCACCTGGGGAGGCGATGGGCGTGGCCACCCCGGGTGGGCGTGACCCAACCCTGGGGCGTGGCCACCTCCCAGGCGGGTACCTGTGCTGGGCGTGGCCCTGGGCGTGGCCCCGCGGGTGGGCGTGTCCCCTGCGGGCGGGCGTGTCCGGTATAGGCGGGCGGGCGGTGGGTCGCGCCCGGGCAGTCTCGGCGGGGCCATGAACGGGCTGAAGGGCTGGTGCGCGGTGCTGGACGTGCGGCCCCACGGCGAGAGCCCGGTGAGGACCCCCCCGGACCCCTCCCCGCGACCCCTCGTGTCCCGAGACCCCCCCCGGGACCCCGCGGTGGGGAGGGGGACGGGCCCCCCCGGCCCCGGCGAGCGCTGCCCGACCCTCTCCCCTCGCCCCGCGGAGCTTCGGGGGGTCCCCGGGGGGCTCGGGGGGGGCTCTGGGTGCTCCCCGGGGGGCTCTGTGGCCGCACCTTCCCCCGGGGGGGGATCGGGGTCGCGCCCACCATCCCCCGAGGGACCCCCCGGCGTTGGCGCTGGGCTCCCACCGTCCCCCGCAGATCCCGGGAAGGCGCTTCCCGAGGGATCCCGGGAATGCCGGCCGGCACATGGTGCCGCGGAGCCATCGGGCCGCCCCCAAAAACGTGGCTTTGGAGGGGGGGTAACGCGCCCCTCGAGCGGCTCCCGGGAAGGAAGGAGGGGTTGGGGGGCGATGGGAACAACCGGGCAGCGGCTCCTTCCCCCCCCCCCCCCGGAATTTGAGCGAATCGTCCCGATTTTTTTTCTCTTCCTCGTCTCCTCGGGTTTTCCCCGGCGCCGTCCGCGGCCGGGACGGGCCCTGGGTGGGGCTGGCGGCGCCCCAAAAACCGGCCCCGCGCCGTCCTGGCGCCCCGGATTCCCGGGAATGGGGCGAAGCCGGCGGCGCTGCCCGGGAGAGCCCGGCCCGGCTCGGCTCGAGGCTTTTTGGGGGGGCCGGAGGGATCCCCCCAAAAAAAAAAAGAGTCGGGCCGCCTTTTCTTCCCCTGTGCCGGCTGCGGGGTGACTCAGCTCTGAGTCTCCTCAAGGAGAGTCTCCTCATTCCCGGCGGCTTTTCCAGCCTTATAAGGAGCGATCGCGGCGTTGGGCTCGTCGGTTAATGGGGTTGGGGCAGATAAGCGGCTCCAGCGCCGGCGATCCCCAAAATTCCGGCTGCTGATCCTCGCTGATACCCCCCCTCCTCCCTCGGCTCAGGTCTGGCCTGTTCCCGGGCGGGACAGACAGACGGACGGACCTTCCCGAGGGTTGCAAAACATCGGGATCGGCGGCCGCGGGGCCCTCGGATGTGGTTGGGGTTCGTGTGGTTCCCCCTTCCCCGGAGCCTCCTCCCTCCGAAACGGGTTGGACGGTGCAAAACAGGCCGAAATGTTTTAAAATTGGCTTCGGAATTCCTGAAATCCCCCTCCCGGTTGTCCTCGTTTCCGCAGGGATTCGGCTCTCGGGGGTGTTTGGACCCACGGGGCCACCGGGGATTTTGGGAATGTCCCCTCAAATGAGCTTCCTGCCCAAAAACCTCCAACTGCCGGAGCTTCCCCGCAGCCCAGACCCGGCCAAACTCTTCCCATCCCGGTTCATTCCCAAGGAAAAGCCGTAAACACACCCGGCCGGGCTGGAATAACTCCCGGGATGCACAGCTGGGGGGGTTAAAGAAGGATTTTCTGTCCCAGGCGGGTTTTTTTCCGAGCTGGAGCCGAGCGCGGGGCTCTCCATTGTCTTGGAAAAGCCTCCTGCTGCCCTGGAAAATAATGGAGGAGGCCCCAAATCCGCCTCCCCTCAGCTCCAGGGCTGGAAGCGGGAGGTGGGTGTTGGATTTCAGGGACAGGAGCAGGGCAGGGAGTCCCTGTGGATCCGATCCCGGCGGGATTTGGGACCTCGGAGCTCCAGCTTGGCCCTGGAGGAGCCGCTTCTCCTAAAACCACCCCGGTGAGGAGCCACTAAAACTTTGGGAAAGCCCCAAAAAATCCCCAAATTAGACATTTCTGCTCCTCTCCTCCATCCTTCCTCACCGGAGCCGAGGCAGGAAGGGGTCGGCTCCATCCTGGCCTCCTGCACCTGCCTCAGCTTCCCTAAAAAAAACATTCCCTGCCCCCCAAAAAAGCCGGATTTCATCCCTGGTGGTCCAGAGAGTGTCCCTCAAAACAGGGAAACTCGTGTCCCACCCTCCCTGACGGAGCTGGGATTTGCATGGGCTGGTTTCCTGCTCCGTTGAGCTGGGATTTGGAAGTGCCAGTGCTGGTTTAGTGCTGGTTTAGTGCTGGTTTAGTGCTGGTTTAGTGCTGGTTTAGTGCTGGTTTAGTGCTGGTTTAGTGCTGGTTTAGTGCTGGTTTAGTGCTGGTTTAGTGCTGGTTTAGCGCTGGTTTAGCGCTGGTTTAGCGCTGGTTTAGCGCTGGTTTAGTGCTGGTTTAGTGCTGGTTTAGTGCTGGTTTAGTGCTGGTTTAGCGCTGGTTTAGCGCTGGTTTAGTGCTGGTTTAGCGCTGGTTTAGCGCTGGTTTAGCTCTGGGCTCCATGGTGGGTTTTATCCAGGAGCAGGTTTGGTGGTGATGGTGGTTTTTTTTTGGGATGGGAAGTGTCCATGTGCGGAAGTTTTGGCTGCAGGGATGGAAATTGTGCTTGTTCCTCACCGGGGTGGATCTTCCCCTGGGAGAGAGGATTCCTTGGCAGCTCGATGGGATGGGGAATGAACAGGAATGCAGGATCCCGGTGCTTGTAAACAAAGCTGGGAGTGAGGATGTTTGGGGGAGGCCCTTCCCTGGATCCCGTTGGATTCCGGCGCCGCCGTGAGCCCTTTGCCTTCCCTAAAACCCCCCCAGATCCCAAAATACCCCCCCAAACCCCCAGAGCCTGCTGAATCCGGCTGCTCCCGAGGCTTCCTGGCCGAATTTTCCAAACTTTGCCAAGGAAAACATTCCCTGGAGGAAGAATCTCCCCGGGAGCATCCGGTTAAACCGGCGGGCGGGAGCGGATCCCGAGCGAAGCTTTCCCGGGATTAAACAGAGGGATTGGAGGGGTCTGGCCCCGGGGTGGGCGTGAGATCCACGGGAGCGGATTCCCGAGGATTTGTGGGAGTTCACCCGGAGTATTTGGGAAACAAACTCGGCTTGTTGGGACTTGGAGAGAGCCTTTGGAAGCGGGAGGGTGACGTGGCCCAGGGCGTGGCCCGGGCGGGATCCCAGGGGAGGGATCCCAGGGGAGGGATCCCAGGGGAGGGATCCATCCATGGAGCTGCCTCCGGAGAGCCCACGGGACACAGAGCAGCTCCGGGATCTGGGATCCTTCCCAAGGATCCGTCTGGGAGAAGGACGTCGAGGTTTTTTGGGTGACCCCCCCCCCCCCCGGAGTGTTTTGGGTGCCAGAAGCGTCTCCGGGGGGTCCCGAAACCCCCTGGGTGTGGAGCACCTCTGGGGATCGTGGCACACCTCCTGGGATTGTGGGATCATGGAATGGGAGGGGTTGGAAGGGCCTTAAAACCCACCCAGTCCCACCCCCCCTGCCAGGGACACCTTCCACGGGAGGAGGTCGCTCCAAACCCTGCCCTGATCCCGGCCTTGGAGCAGCTCAGTGGATCCTCCAGTCCCGAGGGGTTGGATCCGTGGCCTTGTCCTGGGTCACTCCTTTAATCCCAGTGGGATCCACTCCTTAAATCCCGGCACTATTCACTCTGATCCCAGCAGGATTTGCTTGTTCAATCCCAGCAGGATTTGCTTGTTCAATCCCAGCAGGATTTGCTTGTCTAATTCCAGCAGGATCCACTCCTTAAATCCCAGCAATATCCACTCCAATCCCAGCAGAATCCACTCCTTTAATCCCAGCACTATTCACTCTGATCCCAGCAGGATTTGCTTGTTCAATCCCAGCAGGATTTGCTTGTCTAATTCCAGCAGGATCCACTCCTTAAATCCCAGCAATATCCACTCCAATCCCAGCAGAATCCACTCCTTTAATCCCAGCACTATTCACTCTGATCCCAGCAGGATTTGCTTGTTCAATCCCAGCAGGATTTGCTTGTCTAATTCCAGCAGGATCCACTCCTTAAATCCCAGCAATATTCACTCTGATCCCAGCAGGATCCACTCCTTTAATCCCAGCAGGATTCACTCTGATCCCAGCAGGGTTTGCTTGTTTAATTCCAGCAGGATCCACTCCTTTAATCCCAGCACTATTCACTCTGATCCCAGCAGGATCCACTCCTTAAATCCCAGCAATATTCACTCTGATCCCAGTGGGATCCACTCCTTAAATCCCAGCAATATTCACTCTGATCCCAGCAGGATTCACTCTGATCCCAGCACTATTCACTCTGATCCCAGCAGGATTTGCTTGTCTAATTCCAGCAGGATCCACTCCTTAAATCCCAGCAATATTCACTCTGATCCCAGCAGGATTCACTCTGATCCCAGCAGGATTTGCTTGTTCAATCCCAGCAGGACCCACCCCTTTAATCCCAGCAGGACCCACTCCCTCAATCCCAGCAGGACCCACTCCCTCAATCCCAGCCGAGGGAGTTGCTCCTCGCCCGTCCGTCCGCCCGTCCGCCCGCGGCGACGCCGACCCGGGGCCAAGCCTTGCAGGGAGCCCCAAAAACTCCCAACTTTACCCTTTAAAACTGAACCTCAAATTTAAAACCGGGCAAAAGAGCTGCGGGGAGGCCGAGGTGGGACTAAAGCCCGGTTTGTGCCGCAGGAGAGCGTGAAGGTGCTGCGGCTGACGCTGCCCCACGAGCTGCCGGGCGAGCGGCGCCAGCAGGCCAAGCAGAAGGTGGGTGAAAGTCCGGCTCCGGGGAGGAATTCCCGGGGTTTTGGGGGAATTTACTCATCGGGAAATTCCCCCCCCCCCCCCCCTGCAGCCGGTGGGCAAAGCCTTCGCCATGGTGGCCAACAGGTCCAGCAACGGGCACTCCCTGGCCTCGGAGTGCGTCAAGTGCAACGAGGGGGACGAGGAGATCATCAAGGTGCAGGGGTGGATCCCGAGGGGGCTGGGAAAGGGGGGGTTTTATCCGGGAAAAACGGGCCCCGGGGTCGGGTGGGAAGGAGAGGAGTTGGGGTGGAAGAGGGTGGGGGGGTGGAGAGTGGATTTGGGGGGATGGAGGGTGGGTTTGGGGGGATGGAGGGTGGGTTTGGGGGGATGGAGAGTGGATTTGGGGGGATGGAGAGAGGGTTGGGGGGATGGAGAGTTGGGGTTGGGGGGATGGAGGGTGGGTTTTGGGGGGATGGAGAGTGGGGTGGGGGGATGGAGGGTGGGGTTTGGTGATGGAGAGTGGGTTTGGGGGGCTGGGAGAGTGGGTTTGGGGGATGGAGAGTGGGTTGGGGGCTGGAGAGTTGGGTTGGGGGGGATGGAGAGTTGGGTTCGGGGGCTGGAGAGTGGGTTTGGGGGGGGGCTGGAGGGTGGGTTTGGGGGATGGCGAGTGGGGTTGGGGGGATGGAGGGTGGGTTTGGGGGATGGAGTGGGAATTTGGGGGATGGAGAGTGGATTTGGGGGGATGGAGAGTGGATTTGGGGGGATGGAGTGGGAATTTGGGGGATGGAGAGTGGATTTGGGAGGATGGAGAGTGGATTTGGGAGGATGGAGAGTGGATTTGGGAGGATGGAGAGTGGATTTGGGGGATGGAGTGTGGATTTGGGGGATGGAGAGTGGATTTGGGGGGATGGAGAGTGGATTTGGGGAATTGAATTAAAATTAAAATTAAAACTAAAATTCGAACTAAACCCCACGTGATGGACAACCTGGAAAAAGACTTTGAGGGAGCTTAAAATCAAACTTAACTTTAAGCTTGAAATGAAGTTTGGGGGTCACACAGGAGGGGGAGCAGCTCCGAGAACCCGGGGGACGTTTAGATCCGGAGGGAAAACGCAGGGGGAAGGTGCTTTGGGATGGGGTGGGATCCTTGTGCCGTTCCCAGGATGGATTTGGGATGGTCTGGGCCTCTCTGGGTGGGTTTTTATCTCAGTCTGGGCCTCTCTGGGCAGGTTTATCTCAAGGCCCGAGGCGAGGGCAGCACAAACCACGAGGAGAAGGTGACCCAGCTCAAGAGCGAAGGCCGGTACATCCAGGAGGTAATTCCCGGCCCGGGGGGGGAATTCCCAGCCCAGGGGGGGGAATTCCCATTCAAAGGGTGTCTGGGATGCTCCTGTTCCCTTGGGAGCATCCCAAGGTAATTCCCATCCCAGGAGGTCCAAGATGCCCCAATTCCCTTGGGAACATCCCGAGGTAATTCCCATCCCCCAGTTCCCTTGGGAGCAGCTCCCAAGGTAATTCCCACCTGAGGGTGTCCAGGATGCCCCGGTTCCCTTGGGATCATCCCAAGGTAATTCCCATCCCAGAGGGTCTAAAATGCCCCAATTCCAAAGGTAATTCCTATCTAAGGGTGTCCGGGATGCCCCTGTTCCCTTGGGAGCATCCCGAGGTAATTCCCATCCCAGGGGGTTCCAGGATGCCCCAATTCCTGAGGTAATTCCCATCCCAGGGGGTCCAAGATGCCCCTGTTCCCTTGGGAGCATTCCAAGGTAATTCCCACCTGAGAGGATCCAGGATGCCCCAATTCCCTTGGGAACATCCCAAGCTAATTCCCACCTGAGGGTGTCTGGGATGCCCTGATTCCCTTGGGATCATCCCAAGGTAATTCCCAGCCCAGGGGGTCTAAGATGCCCCAGTTCCAAAGGTAATTCCTATCCCAGGGGGCCCAAGATGCCCCAGTTCCCTTGGGAGCATCCAGGAGGTAATTCCCATTCCAGGATGTCCAGGATGCCCTGATTCCCGAGATAATTCCCACCTGAGGGGGTCCAAGATTCCCTGATTCCCTTGGGATCATCCCAAGGTAATTCCCATTCCAGGGTGTCCAGGATGCCCCAATTCCCTTGGGAACATCCCGAGGTAATTCCCATCCCAGGGGGTCCAAGATGCCCCAATTCCTGAAGTAATTCCCATCCCAGGGTGTCCAAGATGCCCCAATTCCCTTGGGAACATCCCGAGGTAATTCCCATTCCAGGGTGTCCGGGATGCCCCAATTCCCTTGGGAACATCCCATTCCCTTGGGATCATCCCTTGGGAACAGTTTGTTGCCTCTGCCCCGCTCTAATCAAGGCCATCAATTAGTCCCTGCCTGACTAATTGCTCGGCTCCGGGCGGAATTGGCCGGGAATTGTTCAGGAATTGTTCGGGAATTGCGGTGCCTTTTCCCCCCCAGGGCGATCCCGGCCCCACCCAAGGGTTAAAGGGCAGTTTCCTTGGAATGTTTCCTTGGAATGTCCCAAAGGGAACTGGAGGAGGAGGAGGAGGCCCCGGGAATTTTAACCCTTTCCTGGGTTCCTGCTGGGAATGGTTTTGGGAAGAGGGGGGAAAGTGGGAGCGTGTCCTGGGATGGGATCAGCCTTAAAAACGTGGGAAATAAATCAGTTTAAATTGGAATATGGGAGCAGGTCCTGGGATGGGCAGTTTGGCCTTAAATGTGTGGGAAAAAGGGGAAATAAATCAATTTAAATTTAGGGAGGAGGAGAATGTCCCAGTTTGGTCTTAAACACGTGGGAAAAAGGGGAAATAAATCAGTTAAAATTTAGGAGGAGGAGAATGTCCTGGGCTGGGCAGTTTGGCCTTAAAAAAAAAGGGGGGAAAAGGGGAAATAAATCAGTTTAAATTTAGGAGGAGGAGAGTGTCCCGAGATGGGCAGTTTGGCCTTAAAAAAAAAGGGGGGAAAAGGGGAAATAAATCAGTTTAAATTTAGGAGGAGGAGAATGTCCCGGGCTGGGCAGTTTGGCCTTAAAAAAAAAAGGGGGAAAAGGAGAAATAAATCAATTTAAATTCAATTTAAACTCCTGTCAGAGCCTTTCTGAGCCCCGGGGGTTGATCCGGGAGGGCGTCTCCGGATTTTTTAGTCATCCTTCCGACTCCTCTGCCAAAAAACTGGATTTATTTTTTCCCCTAATCCAAGGGAAAACAGTCTGTTCCTGCCCGGGGCTGCTCCGGGGTGTTGCCACCCAACCTTTATCTCACCTGCTTTTTATCCCTGAGCCTTCCCATTCCCGGGGCTTTCGGGGCTTCAGCTCCTCCAATCCCGGGTTTTCCGGCGCAGGAATTGGCTTTAAAAGGGCTGGAGAAGCAGGAATTGGGTTGAAAAGGGCTGGAGAAGCAGGAATTGGGTTGAAAAGGGCCGGTTTAGGACGAGTCGAGCGGGATTTTGGGATTTTCCCAGCTTGGAACAGCTGGAAGAGTCGATTTTTGCCTGTGGAAAACAGGAGAGGAAGAGCCCAACCAGTTAAAAGCCAAGGTGGTGGCACCGGTTTTTGTTGGCATCCAGGTGGGGGAAAAACCCTGGGAATGTCTCTGTCCAGCTGGTTGTTGATCCAAGAGCTCCAAGAGCTCTGGAAAACTCCTTTATCCCAAGGGGAGGGGCTGAGCCGAGCCCTGGGAATGCTCGGAGAAGGTTTTTCTGGGAGAGGAGTTGGTGGAAAGGGCTGGGAATCCCCCCCTGGCCCGGGATTCCTTTGGATTCCTGTTGATTTATCTCCTGGTCTCTCCTTGATCCACCTCCCCCTCATTTTCCCTCGATTCCTCCTCGATTCCTCCTACTTCCCCTTTATTCCTCCTACTTCCCCTTTATTCCTCCTGATTCCTCCTGTTTCCCCTTGATCCCTCCTGCTTCCCCTTGATCCCTCCTGCTTCCCCTTGATCCCTCCTGCTTCCCTTTTATTCCTCCTGCTTCCCCTTGATCCCTCCTGCTTCCTTTTGATCCCTCCTGCTTCCCCTTGATCCCTCCTGCTTCCCTTTTATTCCTCCTGCTTCCCCTTGATCCCTCCTGCTTCCCCTCGCTCCGTCCTGCTGTATTTTGATTAATTTGGGACCCGCTGCCTCCCCTCCAGCCCGACTGGAGCAGTTGTAGCCCAGCTGGATGAGTTGTAGCCCAGCTGGATGAGTTGTAGCCCAGCTGGAGCAGTTGTAGCCCAGCTGGAGCAGTTGTAGCCCAGCTGGAGCAGTTGTAGCCCAGCTGGAGCAGTTGTAGCCCAACTGGAGCAGTTGTAGCCCAACTGGATGAGTTGTAGCCCAGCTGGAGCAGTTGTAGCCCAACTGGATGAGTTGTAGCCCAGCTGGATGAGTTGTAGCCCAACTGGATGAGTTGCAGCCGCCCCCAAGACTCGGCCGTGGTGGAGGAGGATTTTTTGGGGGGCTGAGGGACCCTTTCCGTGCCGAGCCAGCTGAACTCCCGTTGCCTTTGCCAGGCTGGAAGTGCTCTGAAGAAGCTGCGGGAGGACTTTAGTAGTAAACTTGAGAGCAGACAAGGAGCTCAGGAGCACCCACAGGTAACGGGGAATCCCCTTCCCGGGCTGGAAAACGCTCCAGGAGGGGGTTGGGGTGGATTAAAGCCGCGGTTTGGAGGCCAGAGTTCCACGAGGAGTCAGGCAGAGAGGGGCTCTGGGCCGGGCAGGTGAAGGTTTGGCTGCAGGAACCCCCCGGGTTGGAGTCACCGCCGGGATCCCGACGTCTCCGTGTCCTTGGAATTGTGCAGGTGGGGCTGGAGCAGCACAACGGGAGCTGGAAGTGCCCCGAGAGGCTCCGGGGGGACTCCTGGGAGGAGCAGGTAGGAGGGGAAAAGGGGGGAATTTGGGGAATGTTCAAGGTCGGGGGGGGGAGACGGGGCTTGGGGCGACCCCGTGACGGGAGCAGTGGCCTGGGAAAAGCCCCTTCCCGCCAAATATTCCATGATTTTAGGAGAAGTCAGTTTAATTTGAGGTTTTCATCCTGGCTTTGCAGCTGAGCCTGATCCCCCAGCAAACAGGGTCAGGTTAGAAATGGAGAGAGGCTCAATTCCATGGATAAAAATGCACTTTTTGGGGGTTTGACCGCTCCTTAAAAAGCATCCCGGAGTTTTTGAGCCCCAGGGGGTAACAGGAACCTCCCTGGACATCCCTCCGGCCCTTCCAGGGGGAGACCACAGAGCCACGGGATCCTTGGGCTTGGAAAAAGACCTTTTGGGATCAGCCAGTCCAAGCCAGAGTCTTGGGGCTGGGATTTTTGGGGCTGGGATTTTTGGGGCTGGGATTTTTGGGGCTGGGATTTTTGAGACTGGGATTTTTGGGACCGGGATTTTTTTGGGCTGGATGTTTTTGGGCTGGATGTTTTTGGGCTGGATGTTTTTGGGCTGGGATATTTTGGGGCCGAGATTTTTTTGGGGCCGGGGTTTTTTTGGGGCCGGGATTTTTTTGGGGCCGGGATTTTTTTGGGGCCGGGATTTTTTTGGCTGGGATTTTTTGGGCTGAGATTTTTTTGGGGCTTGGGATTTTTGGGGCCGGGATTTTTGGGGCTGGGATTTTTTGGGGGCCGGGATTTTTTGGGGCCCGGGATTTTTGGGGGCCGGGATTTTTTTGGGGCCGGGATTTTTTTGGGGCCGGGATTTTTTTGGGACCGGGATTTTTTTGGGGCTGGGCCCGCTCTCGGGTTTCAGGTTGCCCAAGTGGCCTCCTCCTCCTCCACAAACAAGGGCTGGGAATGCCCCGGGGATCCCGAGGAGGGCTGGGAGCTGGAGCTGGAGCGTGGGAGGCGAGGAGGGGAGCGGGGCAGGGGTGTCACCGGGGTGTCACCGGGGTGTCACCCACGCCGGGGTGGGGGACCCTTTTGTGCCTCCCGACTCATCCCCGCCCAGGAGGAGGAGAACTGCTCCAGCCAGGACGTGGAGACGCTCCAGGAGACGGCCAGGAGGCTCCTCAGGAGGCTGCAGGAGGCCGAGAAGCGCCATCAGTTGGAGAGGAAAGCCTTCGAGGTGACCGAAAAACGGGGAATTTAATCTGATTTTGGTGGTTTTCCGAAGCTTCCCGGGAGCCCTGAGGGACACGTTGGGGCTGCTGGAGGTGTCCACCTCCTCCTCCTGCTGCTGCTGCTGCTCCCCTCCCTTCCTCCTCCCCAATTAAGGGGGTTAATTGTCCCCTTCGGGGTGTTTTTTGGGGCCCGGATGGGCAGGGCCGGGCTGTGTCACCCCAGGGCCGGTGACAGCGGTGACACCCCCGCTCCCAGTCCCGTCCCACAGGCCAGACTGGTCCTGGGCAGCCCGGGGGGGGGGATGGATCCCCAGGAAGTGGGTTTGAGGGGTGACAGGGGGTGCCCCAGGGACGTCCGTCCTTCCCCGTAGGAAGTGGGGTGGGTTTGGTGGCATTTCAGGGGCTTTGGTCACCCCTGGGGTGACATCTCCACCCCGGGGGGGGTGTTCCAGGGGTCCTTTGATCCTGCCACGTGTTGGGGCTGCTCTGCAGCTGTGGGGGGGACCCACGGGGGCACCTTGGTCCCCTCTGAGCTGCTGAGACGTTGGTGGGGGTGTGAGGTCACCCCTGGGGCTGGTGACCTGTCCCTGTCCCCTCTGAGCTGTTCCTGTTGATGTGGACAGTGGCTGAGGTCATTTCCTTGGACAAGTGGCCCATCCCTGTCCCCTCTGAGCTCCTGATGGTGGCCAAGGTCACCCCTGGGGCTGGTGACCCACCCTTGTCCCCTCTGAGCTCCTGATGGTGGCCAAGGTCACCCTGGGGCTGGTGACCCCATCCTTGTCCCCTCTGAGCTCTCGATGGTGGCCAAGGTCACCCCTGGGGCTGGTGACCCCATCCCTGTCCCCTCTGAGCTCCCGATGGTGGCCAAGGTCACCCTGGGGCTGGTGACCCCATCCCTGTCCCCTCTGAGCTCCCGATGGTGGCCAAGGTCACCCTGGGGCTGGTGACCCCATCCCTGTCCCCTCTGAGCCCCCGGAGCTCTCTCAAGTCCCGGGGCTGAAGGAAGTGGCCACATCCCAACCTGGGGCTGGTGGCCCCGTGGGCAGGTGGTCCCAGAGGAGCCTGAGAACCCCCTGGAGCTCCTGGAGCTTCTCCCTGCCCTTTGAAGTGCTTTGAAGCCTGAGAACCTTCCGAAGGGCTCCTCATCTCCGAGGCACCGTCGGGGTGTTGGTGCCTTCAGCAGAACCCCCGGGAGCACCCACGAGGCCTGGGAACGTCACCCAAGGGCTCTGCTATTCCAAGTAAAGCCTTTCCCATCCCCCTTTTTCCAGAGGAAGGTGGCCCAGTACCAGGAGGAAGCGGAGCGGGCGAGCTCTGCCCTCCGGAGAGCGGAGAGGGACGTGGAGCAGAAGGAGGTGCAGGTGGACGAGCTCCAGAGGCTCCTGGCCGGGATGGAAAAGGTACCAGGAGCCTTCAGGGGGGTCGGGATTAGCGGAGCCAGGCCTGGGAACCATCCCAGGGAATCAGATCCAGGAACCAGACCCAGGGAACCAGACCCAGGGAACCAGACCCAGGGAACCAGACCTGGGAACCAGCCCAGGGAACCAGACCCAGGGAACCAGACCCAGGGAATCAGACCCAGGAACCAGACCCAGGAACCAGACCCAGGGAACTATCCCAGGGAACCAGCCCAGGGAACCAGACCCAGGGAACCAGACCCAGGAACCAGCCCAGGGAACCAGACCCAGGGAATCAGACCCAGGGATCAGACCTGGGAATCAGACCCAGGGAACCAGACCCAGGGAACCAGCCCCAGGGAACCAGCCCAGGGAACCAGCCCAGGGAACCAGCCCAGGGAACCAGCCCAGGGAACCAGATCCAGGAACCAGCCCCGGGAACCAGACCCAGGAATCAGTCCCAGGAACCAGACCTGGGCATCAGACCCGGGAACCAACCCAGGGAACCAGCCCAGGAACCAGCCCAGGGAACCAGACCCTCCCCGCAGGGCTCGACTTCCCAACCAGGTCTAACCCGATATCCAGCTGCTGGGATCCCACTGGTGGGAAGGGAAGGGGCCTTTCCCAGGTCCAGAAGAGCTGGTTGGTCCGTGCAGGCTCTTCCAGGTCTCCTGGAAGCGGCAGCGCCGTCTAGACGGTTCTGCTCGTGGGGCATTCCCACAACTTCCAGCATTATCCTGTTGGTTTTGGAGCTCATGACACGATTAAAGTCCTAAATGTGACAACGTGGGGTGAGCTGAGCTCTGCTCTTGGGGCAGAGCCTGAGGGAAGGGCTGCAGCTGTGGCTGGGGGGGTTTAGGATGGGTTTTAGGGGGGTTAGGATGGGTTTTAGGGAAAGGTTCTTCCCCCAGAGGCTGGTCGGGCACTGGAGAGGGAAATGGTGATGGCACCAAGATTCCAGAGGGTCGGGAAGGGTTTGGGAAAGGCCCTGGGGCACAGGGGGGCATGTTGGGGGTGTCTGGGCAGGGGCAGGAGCTGGGATGATCCAGAGGCTTGGGCTCGATGGTCAGAGTTTGGGACTGGGGATCAGAGGTGGGATTTGGGGATCAGAGGTGGGATTGATCAGAGGTGGGATTTGGGGATCAGAGGTGGGATTTGGGGATCAGAGGTGGGATTGGGGGATCAGAGGTGGGATTGGGGGATCAGAGGTGGAATTGGGGGATCAGAGGTGGGATTGGGGATCAGAGGTGGGATTGATCAGAGGTGGGATTGATCAGAGGTGGGACTGGGTGATCTTGCAGCTCTTTCCCGACCTCAGTGATCCTCTCCTTCCCTGATCCCTCCAAAGGGGGATATCCCACGTCCCTGTGATGGATCTGGGGCCGGACTCATCCCGTATCCTTGGGGGGGGGGGGAAGCAGCAGGACATCCCTCTGTCTGTCCATCCCTCTGTCTGTCCATCCCTCTGTCTGTCCATCCCTGGTGCAACCCCCCAGCAGAGCCCGGGTGGCCGTTTGTGCTCCCCCCCGTGCGTGTCCCGGTGTTTTCCCTGCGGGATAAACCCCCCCTGGCTCTCCCCAGGAGCGCCGGGGTTTGGTGGCCGAGCTGAGGGCCGGGGAGGCCGAGCTGGCGCGGCTGCGGAGCCTGGAGGGGGACAAGGTGGCCCAGCAGGAACGGTGAGTCCCCCCGGGGCCCCCCCCGGGATGCTGCCAGCTCCTCTCTCCCGGGAATTCTGCCAGCTGGGGAATCCTGCCGGAGCCGCCGCGGGTCGGGGTGTCACTCACACACACACAGAGCTCGGTGCCCTGGCACATTCCTGGGCAGGGCAGGGCGTGCTGGCCCTGCCTGGCCTTGCCAAACACCTTCCCTGCACCCCCAGAGGTGATTCATCCCCCCCCCAAAAAAAAAAAAAACCCTGGAGTTCTGCCTGGCTCCCGGAGATCCCGGAGGTTTGGGAGCCCCGGGAGGCTCCGATCCCGCCCGGCCCTGCTGCTCCAGGGGCTGGTTGGGGCCGGGGTGGTTGTTTCCTGGGAGCCCTCTGGGGTTGTGGGGTGGCTCTTCCTGCTCTTCCTGTGGGTTCCCGGCTTTGTGGCTCTCCTGGGGTAGGGTTTGTGTGTCCCTCCCCTTCTGCTCAACCCCAAAAAGTCCCGAGGTTGGAGAGGAGAGACCACAGGGCTGCAGGTTTTGGGGGTGGGTGTTCCCACAGGGCTGGAGTTTTTGGGGTGGGTGTTTTTGGGGTGGGTGTTCCCACAGGGCTGGAGTTTTGGGGTGGGTGTTTTTGGGGTGGGTGTTCCCACAGGCTGCAGTTTTGGGGTGGGTGTTTTTGGGGTGGGTGTTTTTGGGGTGGGTTTTCCCACAGCTTCTGAAGTTTTGGGGTGGGAGTTTTTGGGGTGGGGTGTTTTTGTGGTGGGTGTTTCCTCCCAGGGGTGGTTTTTGGGGGTGGGGTTTTTGGGAGTGGTGCTTTTTTGGTGGTGGGTTTTTTTGGGGTGGGTGTTCCCACAGGCAGAGTTTTTGGGGGGTGGGTGTTCCCACAGGCAGAGTTTTTGGGGTGTGGATGTTCCCACAGGCAGAGTTTTTGGGGTGTGGGTGTTCCCACAGGCAGAGTTTTTGGGGTGTGGGTGTTCCCACCCGTCCGGGGCGGCTCCCCGAGGATTTTCCCCGTGTCCCCTGTCCCAGGGTGGCCCAGCTGGAGAAGGAGGTGGCCACGCTGAGGGAGAAGATCCACCACCTGGATGACATGTTGAAGAGCCAGCAGCGCAAAGTGCGGCAGATGATCGAGCAGGTGAGGGGGGAGGGACCAGGGGAAGGGCCGGGGAGGCGCTTCCCAAAAAAAGGAAAAGGCTCCCTGGGCGCTCCTCCGGCCCCGTCAGTCCACGGGAAGGGGGTTCCCAAGAGCCCTTCTGAACTTGCCCCCTCGCAGCTCCAGAATTCCAAGACGGTGATCCAGGCCAAGGATTCCACGATCCAGGAGCTGAAGGAGAGGGTCTCCTACCTGGAGGCTGAGGTGGGTCCCAGAGGGTTCTGGGGGGGTCAGATCCGGGCTCCTTCTGATGTCTGAACATCCTTTCCAGGAGGAAATTCCTCCTGCTGTCCAACCTGACCCTCCCCTGGCACAGCCTGAGGCCGTTTCCCCTCCTCCTGTCCCTTGTTCCCTGGGAGCAGAGCCCGACCCCCCCCCGGCTCCCCCCTCCTCTCAGGGAATTCCAGAGCCAGAAGGTCCCCCCTGAGCCTCCTTTTCTCCAGGCTGAGCCCCCCCAGCTCCCTCAGGAGCTCTCCAGCCCCTTCTCCTGCTGCTCCAGCCCCTCTGGACACGCTCCAGCCCCTCAGCGTTGTCGTGAAGTGCCCCCAAAATTCCCCCCTGGAATGAGAGATGTGACCCCACCCGTCCCCAGCACGGAGGGACAATCCCTTCCCTGCTCCCCGGGGCTGGAAAACCTCCCTGTTCCCAACTCCTGCTCCCAATTCCTGCCCCTTGTCCTGCAGAACCTGGAGATGCACGACCGGATCGAGCACCTGATCGAGAAGCAGGTCAGCCGGGGCGGGCACAGCGCCAGGGCCCGCTCCAAGTCGGAATACGTGAGCAGGTACGGGGGGGACACGGAATTCCGGCCGGGAAGGGGCTGCCCCGCGGGTCCACGGCCTGGCTGGGATTTGGGGATGCTCCTCTGGATTTGGGAACACTCTTGGGAAGCAGGGAGGCTCTAATGGATCAGGGGATGCTCTTGGGAAACAGGGAGGCTCCTCTGGATTTGGGGATGCTCTTGGGAAGCAGGGATGGTCTCCACGAGTTGGGGATACTCTTCTGGATTTGGGGATGCTCTTGGATAGCAGGGATGGTCTCCACGAATTGGGGATATTCTCCTGGATTTTGGGGTGCTCTTCTGGAAGCAGAGATGCTCTTGGATAGCAGGGAGGCTCCTCTGGGTCTGGGGATGCTCTTGGGAAGCAGGGATGCTCTTGGATAGCAGGGAGGCTCCAATGGATCAAGGAATGCTCTTGGGAAGCAGGGAGGCTTCTCTGGATTTGAGGGTGTTCTTCTGGAAGCAGGGATGCTCCAATGGATCTGGAGATGCTCTTGGGAAGCAGGGATGCTCTCCATGAATTGGGGATGCTCTTGGGAAGCAGGGATGCTCCTCTGGATCTGGGGATGCTCTTGGGAAGCAGGGATGCTCTCCATGAATTGGGGATGCTCTTCTGGATTTTGGGGTGCTCTTCTGGAAGCAGGGATGCTCCAATGGATCTGGGGCTGCTCTTGGGAAGCACACCCCGTTTTTTCCCACGTCTCCATTCCCTCACCCCTCCCTCAGCAGAGCCCAGGGCAGCCGAAATCCCTTTCTAAGGGGGGGATCCCCCACCCCCCAAGACCCTTTTCCCACGTTTTTTTCCCTCTTCATCCGGCTGAAAACCCCCCTTTTCCCCCCGCAGCAAGAGGCTGACGGGCCCCAAACCGCTGCCTCTGATCCGGGTGGTGGAGACCTGATTCCCGAGGGCCGGGCCGAGCTTGGACTCTTCCCCTTGGCACGGTCGGCTCCGGATTTCCCTGCTTGGCTCTCGTGCTCCGGCCTCGGGACCCTCCCGGAGCGGCCGCGGGAGCAGCCGAGGGCGGGCGGGGCCCCAGGGCGCTCCCGGCACGAGGAATGAGGTTTGGGAAGCGTTCCAGGTTTGGGAAGCGTTCCTGCGGGATCCCAGCCCAGCTGGGTCTGGGAGTCGGGATAATCCCCCTTCCTTCGGGATAATCCCCCCCCTTTGGCGTGGGCGAGGCGGATTCGCCGTCCCTGGGTGTCCCGGCAGAGCCCCCCCCCCACTCCGGGTTTGTCCAACCCCGGGGGGGTCTCACCGTCACTTTTGGGGTTTGAAAACTCTCCAAAGGCGAAGGTTCCGCCTCCCAAAGAAATCCCTCCTTCCCCCCACGAGTCGGGAGCCTCCCACCTCCCACCTCCAGCCCCCCCCTGGACCCGGCGAAGCCTCGCCCTTCCCAAAAATCCGCCTCTTCCCAAAAATCCGCCTCTTCCCGCGCTTTTCCCCCTCCCCCCCGTTTCGACCCGCCCCCCGAGGCCGCTCGGGGCCCCATTCCCTGTATTTATTTCCAATAAATTATTGGTGTCTCCCGAGGATGTGGCGACGGGCACAGGCTGCTGCTCCCCCCCCGGCATTCCCGGGAATGCGGCCCAGGACTGCCCATCCCACGTTTGACCCGGGAAACACCAGCCCAGCTCCCTCCTGGAGCCGGTTTTATTCCCTGGTTTATTCCCTGTTTTTATTCCCTGGTTTTATTCCCTGGTTTATTCCCTGTTTTCCTATAAAATTCCACCGTCTGCCTCCGATCCCGCCGGCTCCGGGTGGTTGGAAGGTGGGAACGGGGGGAATCTGGGGGGGGGTTTCCTGTGTCCTCCAGGTGCTTCTGGATGGGGGTTTTCCAGCCTTTTTTGTGTCCCATCCCCACTCCGGGGCCTCGGGGTTGGAATTCCGGCCATCCCCAGCACCCGGAGTTTGGGAAGAAGGAGGGGAAAAAGGTGGGAAGGAAAAGTGGGAGGAGGAAGGAGAGGAGGGAAAGGAAGGTTTGGGAATGGAAGGGAAGGTTTGGGAAGGGAAGGTTTGGGAAGGGAAGGGAAGGTTTGGGAAGGGAAGGTTTGGGAAGGGAAGGGAAGGTTTGGGAAGGGAAGGGAAGGGAAGGGAAGGTTTGGGAAGGGAAGGAAAGGGAAAAAGAAGGAAGGAAAGGGAGAAAGAAGAAGGAGGGAATGGGAGGAAGGACAAAAGCCAGGGAGAGAGAGGAGGGTGAATATTCCTGGGGAATAAATTCGAACATATCCCGGGAATAAATTAGAATATATCCCAGGAATAAATTAGAATATATCCCAGGAATAAATTAGAACATATCCCAGGAATAAATTAGAACATATCCCGGGAATAAACCATGACACATCCCAGGGATAGTAAATTATCCGGATGACAGGGATGGGAGGTTTGTTTCCCTGGGAATTGAGGCAGAGGCTCCTCCGGGGGTGGGATTTGAGAGAGGAGCAGATCCTTTGGAATTAGAGGAGTTATGGATGGAGAAGGAGAAATCCCTCCCTCCGTGTCCCTCCATCCATGGATCCGCTCCAGGAGAGCCATTAGGAATGACAAAGCCCCACTTCAGGAATGACAAAGCCCCTCTGTGGTGTTAAGGATGAGCCCTGGGAGCAGTGGGAATTCCCAGGAATTCCCGGGTTCATCCATAACAAACCCCCCCCCCCCAGGAATAAAAGAGGAATAAAACTCCCCCCCCCATTCGCAGGGAATTCTGGGGAAAAAATCCCCAAAATATGGATATCAAATAAAGCCTGGAAGGGTCAGGAAGCCTCCCCTGCTCCTCCTGGCTCTGGATAAACGCTCCAGGTGGGAATTAGGGGGAGGTCACTGCAGGTCCCCCCCCCCCTTTCCCGACAGGAACATAAAAAAAACCCTCAAACCCCTTTTTATTTTGGTGGTT